CTGAAACCCGCCCCTCCTCGGCAGCGGGAGGTGCAAAAGCTGGGCTCGGATGTTGACGGTAAAGCAAGAGTCCTCAGGAACAAGTCTGAAAAGGCAGACAAAAAGGCCACGATCCCGCAAAGACTTAAGTTGCTATAGCACGACCGTGATACCTGTATCCGAGAAGCATCCCAGAGAAACGACCTTTTTTTTATAATCCCTTTTTTTTTTTATAATCCCTTTTTTTATAATCTTGCCTTCCTCGGCATTTATATGGTTATAAGCATTCACATTTTTGTCAGTAAAATTCTGCAGTGTCCTGAATTTATGTTTTCAAACACTTATGTCACTTGAAGCTCTTTGTCCAAACGTGATTCTCTTAGATGTTACGTATCCGAGATCTTCAGGTGGGCACGTGCTCATCCAAATCCCATGTGGGAACTCGGAGTATACACAACACACCTGGACAGTACTACATGAAAAATACAGGTGGTAGTTTGCTTTATTTAGGAGATAAGCTGGTATAACAGTGTCCATCTTTTATAAATACACAGTCTAAGAGAAGTGTGAGTTCAGTGTTTTGTGTACAGAAACTAATTCAAAACTAAGGTTCAACAGCATCTTCAGAACTGGTACCTTGGTCAGATGCAGTGATCTGGATGGCTGTGTTGAAAACTGCTTCAGTAAAAGCTGGTCACTTCTTCCACCACTGTCACAACATCTTAAAAGAGTAACCCCTTAGTTTACCTGCAGAAAAAAATGCACTGTAGCATTTTTCAGATGCCCTGATAATGACGCTGTCTAAATCCATAACTCCCTTTTAGGCTTGAATCCATCTCTAACTCAAATCTTCAAGGAGAGATAAATTCCAGGGAGAAGTCAAGAATTTATTTTTTGTCTTCAGCATCTGACTGGAGCAGTGCAGATAGCAGCCACTCAGTCCGCTGTTTGCATCTTGTCTGAATTCCACTTGGGATTGCACAGGTCTGCCACGTGCACTCCCTGGCTAGCTCATTACTGTGAATTCTGCTTTCAAGCAACATGCCTAAAAACTTAGGTATCATTGAAGTGAATGATGATACCGAAAACTGAAAATTATTCAATATAAAGCATTATCCCTATGCACAATTTTAAAAGCTTTAAATTTAAAACAGCTTTACAAATTACAGTTATACTTTGTAAAACCTTTGCATATAAACATGTTTTGGTTTTAGGACTGACTTCCTATTCAAAGGATAGAAGCTGGATATAAACATGTAATGCTGGTGTTATAAAGAGGACGGTCTAAGAATGGCACTGTGGCAAGATTTAGAGAGAAAGATTATATGTTATTAGACCAACTGATACAGTTTAGTTTAAAAAAACCCACAAAATCTCAGGGTTTCTATTCCACCTGGTGTAACAGTCAGCCTAGTAACATCTTCCTAAAGGATTTTGTACAAACTGTAACATGACAATTTTTTTATAAAGCAGAATGGTTTTCATGCACATCTCACTCAGGTGTTTCATTTGTCTGTGTAATAGTCTGTATTGATCTCTTGAGAACAATAGCGGTTGTTCTCAATAGTCTGTGAAAAAAAAAATCAGTTTTATATAGGTTACAAATGCATTTGTTTGGGGTCTTTTTTCAGGTAGTTCATGTGTATGTCAGCCAGGATATAGGATGGTTTCTAGTAATGGTGGATCCTCCATTATCTGTGAAAAATGCCCAGAAAATATGGTAAGTTGAACTTTTCGTACTTCACCATAATAATATTTTTTAATTTCAGATTTTTTCCTGACTGCAAGTTATTTTTGATTTATTTAAAATTATTTTGTACAGTAGTCTTTACTTGGGCATTTTTAAGACAATGCTTATAGGTAGTATTTTTTTTCTCTTTAGAAGTGTTTATTACTATTACTTTGCAGGCATTTTGCATTTTAAATTTGACCGACAAAGTAAGAATGTTAAATTTCCTTTCACTGCTTTTCTCATTTGTGTTATGTTATCCTGGCTCAGAGTCCACACTTTTATAGAATAGCAAAGATGCTTTTCAGCTCATAGGTATATATGATTATTTGTATAAATCCTATCATTGTAATATTTAGGCTGTATCTTTACAGTCCCTGATCATAGCATCGTCCGAGTTGGAATCTCTCGATATCATCTCTAGAGATTGCCCACAGAAGCATTGAGCCAGAGGCACCAGGCTTAACCAGCTTTTCCCACTATACGAAATAGTGAAATATGTTTTCTCCAGCAAAAACAACTTTTCAGGGTGAAAGCCTTCCTGAGTGCTTCTTTCTCTCCAATGACTGTAGAAGTGTAGCTGCATAAATTATGTGTTTAATGGCTAATGAGTAACGTAGGGAATTTCCCTCATCTTCCTATAATCTTGCTACGTTAGACAAAGATATTGACAAATATCCATTGGTGCTTTGATCATTCTGCTGTTTCTTTCTCTGTCCTGTAGTGGTGACATTTGTCTTTGATCCTATGGCAAGGCTAATGCAAAGACAAAATTATGACAGCAGAGACAGAAATAGCATCAATATCACCTGAGGATGAGAAGTTATCTTAATTTTCCTCATTGGTTTTGATCAGTAGTGCAGCTACTTCATAGTACAAAATAAGTGTGGGTGTAAACTCTTTGGGTACGTGCAAAATTTCTTGCAGTTATATAAGCCTGCTTCACTTAAAACTCCTCCATTTCCATGTATATTCTGTACATGTATATGCAAATATGTCTATTTATGCATTATGTTTATTGACTATTATTTTTTCCAGTGTAGAACCTCTATTTATTTGTTTTAAATCTTCCATTTTGAATCAGCTCTTGTCTTTGGTGAAGGGTGCTGGCTAATGGCTTCCGAAAAACTCAAGAACTCTTTTTTTATTCTACATCTGCATAGGAATTACTTTTGCCAGATTGTTTCTAGCCTTTTTTTTGTCTTTAAAAGCTTCATGAATGTTATCGATGTTATTGTATCTGAAAACATTTTCTAGTGAATAATATCTGGATCAGACATTCTTCACAGGTACTGAATGATGTCTATATTTTTGAAAATTATAATAGTTTTACATTTTATTTTAGAGTGGAGTTACTCAAGATGGATGGAATTGTATTATTTGCCCTAAAGGCCTAACTTCAGAAGGAAAATGTAAATGCCCTAATAATGAGATATTAGGTAAGAAATATATTCAAGTTATGAGATATTAGTGGTTGTTTTAGATATTTGAGTTTATTAAGACATGCTCTTCTGTTAAATAAGAAAGGAAATTTAACATAGGTTTACATATCTGATGTAAAAATTCAACATTCCCTTTGATCTTAAACCTCATTTCTGAAAGATAACAGATAAATCTGTGCTGTTGTTCATTGCAACAAAAAATAATCATGCAGGCATTTAACAATAAATATCAATGTGTCACTTCCTTTAAACTGGTTGGCACTGAGAGGAGGCATTAAGATTAGAATAAAACAATGTCAATATACACTTGCTGCCTGTATTTTTTTTAATAAATGTTACTAATGACCACTTTGTTTACATTTCTAACAGTATAACAGTATACTGGAGAATCACTGTTTTTCAGATTATTTAAAATTTTCCTAGGAATCTCTAAAAGAATGAATGCAAATCATCTCCTTTGAATTTTATGATTTACCAAATACATTCTGATTCTTTATGGTAAAATACTGCATGCAAGGCTGATTCTTTAATTTAATATGCAGAAATAAAATTGATACTGTAATTATTTTGATTCTCTTTGTATCTCTATTTTATGTATATAATTAGACTTGAAATATCTTGCGGAATTATTTACTTGCTGGAAGATGAATTTTTGAAACATTAAACTTGTGACATTTACATGAATCATTTCAGATGAAAATAATTTTATCCAGTGATTTCTAAACTTCATGAGTTGAGTTTTAGCTTCACAGTGAAGCCTTGGTTGGAAATTTGGTTCAGAATAAATAGCAAAGAAACAACAAAACTGGACATGAAATGCTGTTTCTCATTAAAACTAAATTTCATGTGCATAACTATATATATATAAATGTGTATTTATAGTGGATGTTATTTGCAAGTTATGCTCTTGAGTTTTTTAAAAATAAAATCTTTGCATTTATTTTAGATCTGCATAGACGCTATTTCTTCACACTTTTCTTAACCTATGTGACATACTGTGCATCTTGCAAATTTATCACCATTGCTTTTCTTTTCCACTTAGTGGAACGAAGCGTCGATGGCATTTTGCTTGATGAAGCATCGTGCGTACGGTGTAACGGAAGTGAGCAATCGTTCTCTGCTTCAGATGTGTCAGGAGATAGGTGAGTATTCTTTGCCTCTCATGATGATAAATTTGAACGTGTCATGTTCTGTTCTGTTTAAATGGAACATTCTTCTGTCTTTGGGAGGACAGTTTTGAAAGCAATGAATTGGAAATCCTCAACCCTGTATCAAATTCAGTATGGTTTGTGTTCACAGAAGTTCTTATATGACCAGCAGCTTGGCTTTTCTTTATTATGACTGAAAAACAGGTTTTGGATTGGAAACAGAAATAGAATTCTTATTTTGATAATTAACTATTTAATTTCTTTTCTACTTCACTGACAGTAGAATGGAATTAGTAATGTCTTTTGGATTTTGGTTCGAACTAGTGAAGATGCTGACAGTCTTGTCAGACACACTATGTAAGCACCTTTAACTAAGTACTAAATCTCATATTTAACTACATTTTAAGTGCATTCTTCATGTTGTGATCCAGGTGTGCAAGATGTGAACAAACATTCATCAACGTAAGCAAGTCTTGCGACTGCAGCAGCCCAAACCTTTTAGTAAGTAGAAGAATGCTTATTGTATTGAAGCTCAGCAAAAAAAACCATATGTTAGCAAGTGTTTAAATTCTCTTTCTTTTCATTTCAGACTGGGGGATTGTGTTTCAGTGCTAGTCAAAGCTTACTCCCAAAAGGAATTGCAACTGTTCGTTTTGGACAGCTAGTAAGTGGTTTTATTCTAAACCATTTTCAGGCTACCCCATTATTTCAGTGAATCTTTAGAATTTCATTCCTGAGAAACAAAGGTGATGGTTTCTTGTCTGATCACGGTGATTGCAAGGTAATTTGCATCAAGATAAGAGTGCAGACATGTAGACCAGGCAAGCATTGTTCTAATGGTATATGTTTAAGAAAATTTGTGCCCTCCTGGAAACTGAAAAACGGAAGTAATTTACATGAATGTAGTATCAAAACGAGTAACTTGTGCTCTGATGTATTAATTCCACGTATTTAAAACACACTCTTGTGTCACAAAAACACACTGAAGAGCCCATGAGAGTCTCTGGGCTTTTCTTTCTTTTTAATATGTAAAATTGATATTAATATAAAATATTTGAAAGATATATGGATTGAAAGGACATTTTTAGTTGTCACACAGTTAGAGCTGATAGAAGAAAACAGACACTGATACAATTACAGACAGTGTATGAAAATGCTGAACTCCTTGAATTGGCTAATGAATGAAAATATGTTCTATTGAGAAAAATGAAGGTGTTTTCATTGTTTTAGTTAACTAACTTTTATTACTTGTGAAATCTGCTCAAAGTTAGGACCATTTTCCAAGTGGTTCTGAATTTAGGAAATGCTGCGTGGCTAATAAATGTATTTTGTTCTTAAATTAACTAATGTTAAAGGCTACTGCTTGAAAGAAAGCAAAAAGCAGTCTTAGTTTTCCTGATAGCAGATATTGGTCATGCACTCTGAAAATGCCATCTACTGAATAATATTTTCTTGAAAACATGTCTTTTCAGTTGTTTACGGTATGTACGAAAGCTATGTTTAGTTCCAGTATGAATAGTTATAAAAAGCAGGTTGTGAAATAATTAATTTAGCAAAATCAGTCCTGTGTTAAATTTACCAGCCAGTCAACACCTTGCCCTGGAAATCATTAGCACTTCCCTTGTGCAGCAAATAAAACTCCTTTGTGCTAGAATCCATACTGAAAACAAATATTTCTGCTCATGTTCTGCGTATTTTGTCTAATTTAGTGAAGTGCAAAAAAATTTCTGCATTATAGTTGTTTTTTGAACGGAGCTCTGTATCTTAGAATCTTATACAAATTAAGTAGTATTTTCTGGCTATCATAGTTTTCTGAATTGTTAGGTTATGGATAAATCGTTCCAAACAAAGAGAGTGAAGCAGTTCCTTATTTACAGGGTATAACACTCACATCAGCATGGTTTCTGAAGAACCTGCAGTCCTCAGCCTCTGCCTGTTGGGTGAGTTCTCTTAATGTTTGCAGTTTGTTTTTTTAATACAGAAGTGATACTCTATACACAAGCATGGCACTTTAAGTTTTGTAAGTTAGCGTGCTTACTTTTAAAGAATCTTATTTTGAGATGACAGTAAATAAGAAAGAAATACTTATACAGAATGTTTAGAAAGAATATTGAGTGCTAGTCAATATTAATGCAAGTCTCCAGGGTTGAAATCTTCACAAGGTGAATGGTGTTAAAGAAAAAATCCTGCAATACTCAGCAGGTACGTGAACCTCTTTAGTATATCCAGTAAAGGATCACTCACAAAATTAACTGCTTACATATTGGCGGGCTGATATTCATTAGCAGCTGATCTTTACTTCTTATTTGGCTTTCAGTTTTTCATTTTGTTTAGTGGTGGAGAAGGATAACTGTAGAACCATTCTTTGGAGCTTTGCTTTGCTTTGCTTTATGTATGCAGGTGCCATTATGTTGCTCTGGGTGGCAGTAACCATGGGTGGAAGAGTGCCTGTGGCAAGAGAATTGTGGACACTTGTGAAGGGGATATGCCTCTGCCCACTTTTTAGCATCTTTCTTATCACACATCCTCATTTCTCTTTCATACTCCTCTCCTCAAAATCACATTTTCATTTCTTAGGCCCTACTTTTCTTTCAAACTGTCATGATGGAAAGGGTTACCAGGCCTACAGGTGTATAAAGTTCCCAACAGTGGATTTGCAGAATTCCATAAGAAACAAGCACACAGGATCTTTTTTTCCTACATTTCTTTATTACAGATTGCCACAAATTATTATTAGTAAAGTGAGTACGCTTATGATTAAAAAAGCAAATACGTATGTATTCCAATGGCAGCAGCAATAAATTGTAGCAGCGAGCATATGTTTCAATATTACAAGTTACTACAAAATTATCACTAGTAAAGCAGCAAATATGCTTATCATCAATCACTTACATGCATGCCTATATATATATATATAATATTCAAAATAGTACCAGTACTCACCAACTAACTTCCAGGAGCGGGGCCTTGAAACTGAGGACAGCTGAAGTCTCACTTCAAAGATGATCCCTGTCGCAGAGTCTGGAGTCAGCCAGGCGTCCCCAGCGATGGGGCTCCTAGAAAAGTTTGTTCAGAGGGAGTTCTCTGTGTGTGTGTATATGAGAGACAGACAGACAGACAAGGCAGGGACAGATTCACTCTCTATTTTGAGTAAAATGTAAGTCATTTTTATAGCACAGAAACATAAGGTGGCAGAGGACAGCACCACCTGGAGCAGCCAATAGATAATACTCTCACAGACCAGTTTTTATTTTTCCAGACTGTTTTTCTGCTCTTTCAGCTAGAACAGCCAATAGCAGCTGCTGCTTCCTACTTTCGTAGAATGTTTTCCCTTGTTTCCAGACTATTTTTCATTTCTCCAGATAAGTTGCAGTTACAGTTCCTTGGGTTTGTGCTTATCAACGGTATCTCAGGCCGTCTCTGGTGTTTAGGTACCCAGTTGCGCTTCTCAAGGATTTCTGATTCCCAGGCCCAGTTCCCAGGCTGGCCGGCATTCTCTCTGTCAGTATCTCAGCAGACTTCTGTTCAGTATTTTCCCAGGTCACCTTTATGGCTTCTCACATGATCACTTCATACACACAGCTCTGAGATGTATTCTACTGAACTCGTTCATTTCTTTTGCAAACTGAGACTGTCCTTATCACTTAGAGCTAAGTCTCTTCTGCTCGTCTGTCTCAGGCTGCTCAGCTCTTCAGAGGTGCTGCCTTAATGTAGCACACGACTGCCGATCTGACCCACACGAAGGCAGTAGGTGGTGGCAGGTTAATAGGAGTGCAGCAGTCACCACACACAGATGCCAACCATCTCCTCTGCCTTTCACATGGCAGTGGTTTGTTTGCAGAAGTTGAACAACAATATAAATAAAACATAGTTTAGAAACAGTGGAATAGAAAAAGTCCTAAAATTGAAAAAGTGTTGAGGATACATGCAAATGTAGTTGTCAGTCTTAGGTCTTTGAGGGAGTTATCTTTGTCATACAGCATGAGTGGCGTTAAACTTTATGATTCTTGCTTCATCTTCTAAATGCAGATTTTGATGATTCTGTCACACGATACCAGCTAGCTGATGCAACTAAAATAAACTGAAAATGCTAGAGAATTGATTTTGTGCTGTCATCTGCAGGCCAATAAATATATGAAACCTGAATAGCTGGGAGAAATTGTTAGATGTTGATAACAGAAATACTTTCAGGTAAAACTGAGGGTTTAGGAGTGGCTTATTGAAGGTAACATTTTCTGACTGCCTCACCAAAAGGAAAGGTAAATAAATACTTTTCTGTGCTCTTATGTTTTTTCACTGCAGTTGTACTCTAATCTAACAGCGTGCCAAGCTCTTGGAAATATGTGTGTCATGAATATGAACTCACTGAGTTCTTCAAGTACAGATGCCTGTGGCTTATTTCAGTATATTTACATCAATACAGCAAGGCTAGGCATTGTTCATTCTATAACCTTCTGGTAAGTTGCCTTTTCCGTAATTTTTGGTCTTTAATTCTGTTTTAGAGAAATTGTTATTGTAAATTTTCTTTTGATGCATTGCATTTCTTAGAGAGAACATTATAATTGCTTTCAGGAGGCATAACCTTCCATGGCTATATTACGGTGATCAACCAGGATTAGCATCCCAAGTGCTTGAGGCAATCTACAGTCTTCAGTTTTAAAGGAACAGATAAGGTAGGTGTTGGGTAATAGAGTGGGCAAGCAGACGTTAGGAAGAGGACTTAATTACATAAAGATGTTTAAATTAATTACAGATGTGGCTCTGCTAAAGATAATTTTTAGGCAGTTAGTGTAACAAAACTGAGTGTGAGATCTTAACAGAGGAGGAAGGCAATATTTATGTAAAAAATCTCTAGGTAGATTATTTTACTGACTTACACTCACTTGCACACACATTTGCTTTGCTCTTGTACTCACTTTTTCATAAGGCCGAGATATGCTTGCCTGAGCTGACCAGAATCAATTGTGTGTGACACAAAGCACAAGAGATGTCAGCTATTAAGTCTCTGTTGTGTCCCCAAGGTTCTTCTGGACTGGCAGCTATGAATAGTAATTAGACAAATCTTTTATACCCCTTAGGAGTTAATAGTTGTTTTGGTATTGCCCTTTGCTTCAGAGTCTTGTTTATTTCAATCCTGGTAAATCTGAGGCAAACCTGGTCTTTGTCTTTTTCCCTTGTTTGAAATACATGCATCCTTTTGGTGGTTTTCCTGGTGAGATAACTGGAAAAAGAGGGGTATGTGTGATGTGCTGTAACTTCGCTGCCATTCTCCTGGTGCCGAAGAGCAGAGTCTGTGCCGGGGTTTTATCACAACCCTTCTCAGCTTTATTGCTGAGAACTACGTCCTTCATTGTTGCTCTGGGGTGTTTAATGCTTCCTTTCTGTTGCTTCTGATGCTTACACACACTTTTCTATCCCTACTTCATTTATACCAGCCTTCATATTTCTGTTACAAACTGAGTTGTATCAGAGATGGATTCACTCTTATTAGTCCAACTTTTTATGCTTCCTGCAGTGAATTAGGGGGAAAAATAAAAAAGAAGTGAGGAAACACAATCATTTCAATGTTAACAAAACTAGATATCCATGCCTATCAGGGATGGAATGCTTAAGTAGCTTGTTAACTGGTACAATTTTAAGAAGGAATCAATCAGTAAAGTGGTTTATTTCACAGAATCATTGTAAAATTTGAATAACTGGAATAGTTTATTCAAGTTAAGCTCATCACAGAAAGTAAGTTGTGCTAGTGATAACCAGTTTGTTACTTATACTGCCAAATTTGTCTTAATCTTTCTTATTGACCTAAAAATAAAAGATTTTACCAGACATATTCTTAAAAAAATGTGTTTTTTAATAAAGCAATATTGCAATGCAGCAGTTGTTTTAATAACTAAAATACTCATTATTCTTCCTAACACTGAAGGCCCTAGAAGCCCTCAGGATCCCAGTCTGGTATATATTGGAAATCCGTATAGATTTCTGGTTAGTTTAGGGCATATCTGTCTGTGTAGAAGTTCCTTTGAAACATTTTCTACATCACCAGTGAAGTTGTAGAAGAATGGTAAAGTATGTTTGTTGGAAAAAAAGTAAACTATCGAAACCAAGATTAAAAACATAACATCAAATGTGAAAAAAATGACGCGTTATGCTCAAAGTTTTAAGGAAGCATCAACAATGAGACAACAGCCTCTACAATGTCTATGTCCACTTTATGACAGTTTCATTGTTTCTTTATCTCTTTATCAGAATTTAAAGCTGCAATTTATTGCAGCCTCATTTGATGCAGGAGGAAACTTTCTTAAATGGCAAAGTTTGGAAGGAGGCCTCTTACAGGTATGTTTGATTTTAATTGGGGGCCGGTTAGCTCAGCCAGTTAGAGCGTGGTGCTGATAACGCCAAGGTCATGGGTTCGAGCCCCGTTCGGTCCCCATGTGTTTCCTGATCTAGTTGAGAGGCATCCCTGCCCATGACAGGGAGACTGGATTAGATGATCTCTAAGGTCCCTTCCAGCCTAGGCCATGGCCATTCTATGATTTTAAGAGAATTATCTCTTGATACCATAATGCTCTGATTGCCTTTAGCCAAAGTAAGACAAAAGCTAAACTAGTGGCAGTTCATAAGATAACTGTAGAGGAGATTAGGGAAGATAGCCAATGACCTCTACATAATCAAAAGTACAAATTCAGCAACATTGCCTTCATCCATTGAACCAATGTAAATTTGGAATATTGGAAAGCTCTGAGAAACAGTGTTAGTCTTTTAGAACCAACTGTGTTCAACAGCTGCCTGAACGTGAGCCAGCAGTGTGCTCAGGTGGCCAAGAGAGCCAATAACATCCTGCCTTGCACCAAAAAGAGTGTGGCCAGTAGGACCAGAGTAGTGATTGTCCTCCTGTACTCAGCACTGGTGAGGCCGCACCTCAAATCCTGTGGCCGATGTTGGGCCCCTCACTCCAAGACAGACACTGAGGTGCTGGAGCGTGGCCAAAGAAGGGCAATGAAGCTGGTGAAGAGTCTAGAGCACATGTCTTATGAGTTATGCCAGTGGAGGTTTAGATTAGATATTAGGAGAAATGTCTTCACAGAAGTGGTTGTCAGTTATTGGAACAGGCTGCCCAGGCAAGCAGTTGAATCACCATCGCTGGAGGTATTTAAAAGAGGTGTAGGTGTGGTGCTTAGGGTTGTGGTTTAGTGGTAGACCTGGTAGTGCTACGTTAACAGTCGAACTGGATGATCTTAAAGGTCTTTTCCAATCTAAATGATTCTATGATTCTATAATTCTACTTCAGCCTTACCACGCTGTATAGATAGGATGTGAAAAATGCAAGTGAGCAGCAAGTAGAAAGTGCAGTAGTAGTTGGCCCCTGTTAGCAGAAATTGGCAGCTGTGAAGCATGTTCCAGAGTAGAATTTTTGTTCAGAAGTCCAGTAGTGATCTAGGCACTCTGAGCAATTCCCTAGGCAGGCAACAACAGGAACACTAGCAAGAACAATTGGGAATTGTCTGTCCCCTTCTCTAGGCTCTTCATGTCTCTCTTGGAGCGTGTCACTTCAAATGCTCCAGTATCTACAGAAGAACAGCTGACATTTAGGTTTTAGGCAGTGACTGCTATTTCTTTTATTATTGTCTCAGGACAGCTTGTCTTGCATCTGCCTCTCAAATTTTAAGGAAGACTGGTGTCTGAGAAAACAGGTTACTAAACCAATAACTGTGCACAGAAAATTGTATATTCCAACATAGATTTATAAGGTTTGTTGGGACACATTAATTTCTTACATAAAAACTTCTAGTAGCTATCAAAAATCAATGGGAAAGGAATAGCTTTTCCATTCAAAGTCTTTTTTGCATGCTGATGAGACATCACAGTGCTAATGCCATCTCATAACTGCAGCAATCTCCAGAATTTCAGTTGCACACTAACAGAATTGTGTTCTATGCAAATTTAGACTTGATTTTCATTTTGGGAAAATGGCTATGCCCTTCACTCAGTGCCATGCTCATTTAGTTAGAATGTGGCCCATTTTTCTGGGTTGTGCTTGGTATTACTTGTTCTTTGCAGAAAATATAAAAGTTACACTGAAAGAGGAAAAAAAAAAGCTTGCTACTTGACATGATAACTTTGGTCCTCTAAGAATGCTAGCTTAAGAGAAAGGGAGCCATGTGAATGTGGAGTTCTTTCTTGTGGGATTCTTGGATTTAGGAGAAGCCACTGATAAAACTTGAGGCAGAACAGTGCATTGAACATTCAGTCCCCTCAAAGATTATTCTTGCCTGGCTGAATGCTTCTGTCCACAGATTTCAACTTCAGTGATGGAACTGAAAAATACTGTGCAAATATGAATAAGCTAAACCAGCATTTTAAGAACACCAATATTAGTGCAATAAATGTTCAAGCTTACTCTTCAAAATCAGTCTCTCTCAAAAAGAGAGCAAAATATATTTTTGGAGAACTATGGATTTGTACACTGCTTGGGGTACCTGTGATGATTTCCTGTGAGAAAATGATACCTTTGAAATAACCTGATAATAATTATGTTTTCTTCAGCTTTGTCCTGATACCCAAACTAAATTGAATGCAGCTTATGCATTTGGAACAACTTACCAGCAAAGTGTAAGTAAGAGATAAAATGCTATTCTGAATTTTGAATTAAGTTGCTTTATATGTCATCAGTAATTCAGTACATGTTGGAGAACCTCTGGAGTTCAGCCGTAAACTGCAGCATGGACTTCTCTCTTGTGAAACTGTGGCTTATTTTGTTTTCTTTATTACTGAGTGAAAAAGTGTGAGATTTTTTTAATATTTTGATTTTACATCACAAAACTTGTTTACTACATAGAATAATCAAAATAAATTGAACTGGTGTTTTTATTAGTGAGGTTGCTGACTTAGCAGTGGAAAAACACAACGCCTAAATTCTGATGGTCATATACTTTGCTGTAACGTCTAATTTTCCTGCCTCCATCTTTGGCCAGGTTTCATAAGGCAAGAGGGCACATGCAATCATGCCATGCTTGTACTGTGTCCCTGTTAACGTATGCCCCGATTTCAGTGCATTCAATAAAGAGACTGAAGGCAAGTTGTAGTCAAACAGATGACTCATCAGAGGAAAGAGATTCTTTCGCTGTCTTAACTATGGAAAAAACTACTGGAGTTTTCACACCTTGCTAAACACCAGGACAGGAAGAGGGGATAGAGCACCTGAGCTTCTCTATACTTGGATGCTAAATTCAGTCAGCCATAGACACGGTTCTGCTAGCAATAAAGCTTCATTGATTTTTGTCACTTATGTATTAAACAGGGAAGTGGTAGTCTCTTTGGCAAGTGGATGGAGAAACAACATCTTTATTTTTGTAGAACTCCATATGTATGCACAGCATCTAATATCTGTGTATCCATTAATATTATTTTTAACTCATCTACATTCAACACTGTTCCCCATGTTACATGTTGCAGTTTCAAAATATATAAACTCTGTCTGCTCTTCAGGTAATGTGAAAGTCATGTAGTGTAATAGCTGTCAAAGCTTTAGTCCTTGAAAACTAAAGGCTATACCAAATAATTTTGACAAGCTTTTGTTAAATATTTTTTAATCTGTATTTCAGTATTTCAGTCAGAATGGAAACTTATTTTCTATTTAGGATCATTAAATTCGTCAAGTACGGTTATTCTATTTTTGTGCTTTTAAAAATCTTACCTATTTCAAGTATTGAGTCTGTAGAACCTGTTGTTAAGTATTAACAACAGTTAATATTACTGGGTTTAAATACAAACACAAATAAATATTATCTTACTGAGTATTTTTTAATATTCCTGAATTGTATGCATCACTTTTTTATTTCCCAGAGCTTTGGAGAAAACATGACTGACCTGTTATATGAGTATTTAAAGACCGCATGGTTGTTCACAGATGCAAAAACCAACCTGCTTTCATATTTAATTTCTTCACACAATCACAGGATGGTTGAGGTAGGCAGGGACTTCTGGAGGTCACCTTGTCCAGCCCTCTGCTCAGGCAGGACCACCTAGAGCTGGTTGTCCAGGACCATGTCCAGATGACTTTTGAGTACCTCTAAGGAGAGAGATTCCAGAGGGACCCTTCTGTTTGAGTTTGTGCCCGTTGCCTCTGGTCCTGTCGCTGGGCAGCACTGAAAAGAGCCTGGCTCTGTCTCGTACACCCTTTCTTCAGATATTTTGTACAGATGATAAGATTCCCCCTGAACCTTCTCCTCTCTAGGGAAAACAGTCCCGGTTCTCTGAGCCTTTCTTCACAGGAAAGATGCTCCAGACCATCATCTTTAAGGCCTGCGCTGGATTATATCTAGTAGCTCCAGGCACACTACTCCATGACCTCAGCGTTTATGTTTCTGGACTTTAGTGTTCATGCTGTTTCAGATTTTATGTCTGTGAAATTTGCTAGGATACTTTTTCCTAATCAGTTCAAAACTGTTGTCATTCTCCATATCGTCATTCTAGTCACTTGCAGTCATTTCCAAAAGGTTTGTATAAAGTCATTAGTACTTGGTAATTGCTTGCAAATAGCTGGAGTGGCTTGTCTTTTGGGAAGAAGCGAGAGAGATTCCACAGTAATTTTGTAGGGGAAGAATCCACGACTTAATAAAATCATGAAATGGCTAAAGTGATCTTTTTATTTTAACATTTTTTTCTTGTAGTGCAAAATTTCACTCTCCAAGATTTTATTGGATTTTGCTAATCCAATCTTTTATGACCTATTCCTTGAATATAATGGTGGCAATGGACAACAGAATCTCTGGGCCGTGCCAGTTTTAAACTTGAATCTTCAATACAGTGACAAGTTTGTTAATCAAGGTAAGACTGTCATAGGAACATTTCTGTGAATGTAAATAATCTGTTACTGAGTTGTTTTTAAAGATACTACAACACACCATAACTTGTTTCTATTTAAGAATTTAGTATTTTATGGGCAAATTCTGACAGTGTTAAGAGAAGCTTTAGTTGCATACACCGGCCCAATCAATAATGCACACAAATAAAGTAATATAACTTCATTATATATTTTATTAAGTTTAAAATAAATAATTCTAGATCCTGACTACAGTTATATATGTTGTACTCTTATATGTATCTTTTCTAGTTGATTTCATTCTTTTTGCATGTTGAATTTGTTTTTTAACTATTATGTGACTGTCATGGTTTTTTCAAAGGCAGTAATATGAACAACTGGCTTTTGACTCGTCGATTTTTTTTGGTGGATGCACTGAGTGGAAAGGAGAATGACTTGGGAAAACTACCAAGAGTAATTCGGATTGCTAGCAAAATAACAATAAGGTGATTAATGGCATAGGATATATAGTACATAGAAAATAAAGCAAATTTTGTGCAGTCTACGTTTTATTGTCTTAAAAGAAAATTGGTTTATTATGTTGTGTCATATATGGCCTTTGCTGTTTTTTCCGTTGCATATTTGGAAATAGCCAGAGTTCCCACAAGAGCGAGTGAGAAGACGTTCTGTAATGTTTTGATAAAATTTGTGTTTTGGAATTGACTTCAGTTGCAGCTGTCATAATGTGAGTAGTAGGTAAAATCGATTCAGGTATTGCAAATAAACAATCCTTCCCAGCTTTTTCTTTTCATGTATTTGTGACTTGCCGTGTCCTTGGGTTTAAAACTTGTATTTTGTTGATCAGGTTGTTCTGTTTATTTAGTATTTTCTTATTAGTACAAGCTTCAGTGGATACTTTCTAATCAACTCATCCATTTTCTTTAATGAAAATAATACTCTGTATTCCTACAGTATTCGTCTGGTATCCCGTACTCCAAGAGGAACTATCTACCCTCCTCTAATTACTATTGCTTACACAGACGTTCTTGTCCAAAACCCTGAAGCCCAGAGTGTGATGGTGAGATCTTTGCGCTGTCTTAATTGAACTAATTTGTTAATCATACTTCTGTTGGAATTCCGGTTAAGCAAACATTTAGGGGCAGGGGGCTATAAAAATTTAATACACAGTTTCTAGTTCAGCTCAGTTTTGAAGCTACAAGTTTTTGCTAAAACTTAAAGCTTTTAAAACAAAGCAATTTAAAAAGATTTCTTTTTAATTTAAGTCTTTTTGAATTTAAAATACAAACCCTTAGAATTTTGATGTTGGTTGTATAATGCTAAATTAGGCTACAGTTAAAATAAACTTATATGCACTGAAAATAACAGGAAAAGTACTCCTTATGCAGTGCACTGAAAGCAGCACTTTATGCAAGAAATTGAATATTTTTATTAAATGCAGGGAATTCAGAGGAGGTTGTTACGACATAGACATTTCAGGTCACCTGTAGTTTAAGTTTTAATATTGATAATGTATCTAAAGCATCCTTTAGGGCTTTGTATGTTCTGTATTATTTTACAGCATATCTCTAAGAAGTAAATAAAATAATCCAAAACTCCTTAGCCAGAGGGGTTGGAGATGAGTTTGGGGGATCCTCCTCTGCTGAAAGTCACTAAATTCCGCTGTAGCAGATGCAGAAGGGGCCTTTCCCCCTTGCCCTCTGCCTGCCCTGATGGGCAGCAGCTCAGATATCCCATTCCTGTGCCTTGTTTGCTTGTTATATCATGCTGTGTTAAAATGTGAAATTGCTGAACTTAATATCATAAAATAAATCATTCTCACTTTTTTAAAAAAAACATATAATAGTAATATTTTCTGCTTATCAGCCCTCAGTAGTTCAGGCTTCCAGTGCCAGCAGACATCTGCCTAGTCCTAGAACCATTCCTTGTGTTCCATATTATCTGCATGAGCGGAAGACAGGGAATTAGAAAGACAGAAAAACTAGTCAGACACTTCTTTCCTGCCTGAACAGTCTTTATTTAATCACAGAAGTAGCACTCGGTTTAGAAAATAATTAATTCAAATGGTGATGGCAGGAGCAATTGTTTTCAGTTTCTCTATTTTCTGTACACTATTTCACCTTAACATCTACAGCTGGGGTACTTAGGTGTTGCCAATTTTGGATATCTTGTTTCATTTAGCAAATTTTGTGAAAGTAAGAAGATAGCATTGCATTTCACTCAAAGTTCTTCTAGTAGCTGAGCATATTTAGGCTTAAATCCAAGTGAGGTGATAGAATGAGTTCTGACAGGAACAAATATTTTGGGAAGCCAAGGTGGGGGTGAGGAAGGACTGGTCTAGGGGGGGCGGATGTGTCCCTTTTTTTAAACTGAATTAAAAATATTGTTCATTATCATGGTTGTGTTAACTTTAGCTTTCCAGTGGCAGAGACTCAGGCCAGAATGTTGCGAAACCAAGACAAACATTTCCTCTTCCTTGTACAAATCTTTCAGACCGCAATAGGTCTTAGGTTAGATAGGTATTTAATCTAGAGGGAGAGACTTTGATGCTGCATGACAATTATTATTTCATTCAAGCTGGAGAATAAATTCGTGCCTGAGCTATGTAAGAGCTCACTTCATGATTTTGTATACTGGTGGAATTACATTAAATTACTTCTAATCAATGCTCATAAAAGGGAAAGTATCAAACCTTTGGCGTCTTCTTCCAGAAGGAAGAAAAATTATGCACATTTGAAAGGATTACAATTAGGTACAGCTAGTAACTTGCAGATAGCAGGCATCCATCCCCAGCATTACTGGTGGTGAAATCTGCCCTAGGTGTAGCAGAGCACATACTAGTACTAAGGCCGGCTCTATAGCACACTATGTCAGATGTGTACAGTAAAAGTTGTATGTTGTATTTGTATAGTAGCCCTAGATGGGAATTCCCATCAATTAAAAGTGAAAACTACCACTGTCTGTAATGACTGCAGCCGTCCAGAGTTTCTACACGTATTTACTTTTTCTGTCTTAATACTCAGGTTTCGTTCTCAGTCAATTATGAGATGAATCAGTCAGAGGCTGAGATTCAGACTGATGTAAGTGTATTTCCCTTTAATTTTTCGATACAATGATTTACTTCCATTTTGTGGTTTTTAACAATATCTGCAAATAATTTGTCATTCCTTTCAGATTGCGCTGGGTGTGTTGGGTGGACTCGCAGTGTTATGGGCCCTTCTCAGGACTGCAGGCTGGAAGAAGCGTACAGGAAGCTCTATAATTGACTTGCAGGTACGAAGAGCTGGCTGCCTAAAAATGGACACGTCTTCCTCGCTTTAAGGAGACCTTTCCTATCATTCCCTCTGATATAAGTATTCTGTTTCTTAAGGCAGCTGAAATAATTTCTAGCCTAGCTGCATAGAACTGTGACCTGCCATTAGGCTTACTTGAGAAAGTAGGGGGTTTGTTTGTTTTTTTTTATTCTAATGTTATAGTTTAGGAAATACTTTTGCTAAAAATAAAGGTATTTACAGAGCTATTCTGATTAGTTTTGTGGACTTAGTTTTCAGATTAATGGTTCTTTGAAAAAAGACTAGCATGTAGGAGCTTCAGATACTGAATTTACTATAAATATGTGACCACAGTAGGAATATTATGTTTGGGGCTACTTTTCAGTAGTGTGAGCTGCATAACGTTTTATATAAATGGACATATGTAATTAGTTAGGTTTACGATTTCTACAGTGTATTTTTATAATTGCAGACAGTTTTGAAGTTCCTCCTGTTTTATGCTGGAGACCTTGCCAACGTTTTCTTTATTGTCACAGTGGGCACAGGGATTTATTGGCTTGTGTTCTTCAAAGTAAGTGTTTTTCCAGATTTGAATGTTGTGAAACCCAATTAATATTGCATATATTTTTATACAAAAATTCATTTTTTCTTTTTTTTTTTCTTTTTTTGCCTTTCTGGTCAGACTATCGAGGCAAGTTCTATGTCATATTTTGATTTGTGTGCTTAAATTTTTATATTCACCTTTTTCTTTTCCTTAGGATTTGTTGTACTTGCAGTCTGCTTGGTAGTGACTTAAAATATTTTACAAATTCGAACTGATTGCATGTTAAATATTGATCTTTTTTTGCAAAATGTTATTCACTCTTAAGCACTTAGTATGTTGTTGCATATGCCATCCATACTATTTCAATGTAACTTCTCAATTGTAGGCTCAGCAGTTTGTCTCTGTCCTTTTACCACTTCCATCTCAAGAAGATGATTTTGTTACATACATAGCATGCGCATTTAGTTTAAAGGTAAATATTTTTTCCTTGGGCATTAAAGATACTTCAGTATATGTTTTTGTATGTTTTCAGTAGGTTTCTTTTTGAACATCTTTCGTTTTATTAGTGTATAGACATAAGCAATTATTTTTTTCTAAGAATTTAGTAATTTTTCCATAGAAATTTATTTTGCGGAGTCTTTATAGGGAAACAAATGCCTAAGGAAGAGGATCTATGAAAAACTACTCTTTCAAGGATAAAGGTATAAAGACACTCAAGTAGACTAACACTGTATCAAGAAAGCAAGTGCTTTCTTTTAAAGCAGAATATAAGCGCTGTTAGTTCCTGACGGAAAAGAAGACAGATTGAAATAATTATGTTCATACACACTTGTAGAATTAATAGATTAGTATTTTGTCTTCATGGGACATACAAGTATTTTATTAATTTTGGGTATTATATTGAATTGGAATTCATGATACAGGTTAATATGTTGTGGGACAATACTTGGCCTTTTTTTTTTAATCTGTTATTTTGCTATATTTTCTCCATAGTTTTGGACACCATCACATGCCTTACCATTATTCCAAGCTTTTGAGTTAAAAGTCAGTAACAAAGCTGCAGCCTCAAGTATAGTCAAGTACATTACTTGTTATGTCTAATGAATGATAGGCTTAATGATTGTTTCTTTGTCCATATGCTGTTGCTGTCCTTACTTGTTGTATTTCTCCTTTTCCTTTCTTAGGCTTTGCAATTCTTACAATTGCTGGTTTCACAACTTACTATAGATATTTTCTTTATTGACTGGGAAAGACCTAAGGGCAAAGTTCTCAAAGCAGTTGAAGGTAACTCAAACTGTGCTGGTTCGTATAAATGGCTTCGGTTAAATTCAGACATCACTCTCAAATATTACATTTCAAAGATTTATTGTGTGTATTCTTTTTAGGCGAAGGTGTTGTTAAAAGTGCTGCTGCACCTGTGAGCATATGGAGGACGTATTTTATAGCAAATGAATGGAATGAAATTCAGACAATGAGGAAGATAAATCCCCTCTTTCAAGTGCTTGCAGTTCTTTTTTTCCTGGAGGTATTATTACTACAATTGTTACTGTTATTAATTTTTTATGATTCACAACTAGATGTGACATAAGAGTCTGCTTTTTACTTCTTGAATTCTCTGTGGTAATAGTGGATGACCTTCAAGTTCATTGGAAAACATGTAACATAGTAAAATAATGATTTTAATAAATTTTTTAATTTATATGTATGTATGTATAGGTCATTGCAAAATTTCATAAAGGAAAACTTATGAAGAAAACAACCTACCCTTAATTACCTTAGAGACTTTTGTTAGTTTTGTTTGGATTTTTTTAAGGTAATGAGTTTCCTTAAATGGCTTATAAGATTGATAAATCTATGTACACACTCAATTATTTATTTGCCTACTAGCTCCCTCCTGGCACAGTCTGTGGCTTTATTTCTAGATCCGCATTTAATTGAGCAGAGCTTCCTTCCTGCGAATTTGCTGTCGTGACCTTTTATAAAGCAGGAGATGAAATGTGCAGGTTCTGTTCCTGATGGCGTAACACAAGGCCTTCAGTTACAGCTTAAGGATGGGCGAGACTTGTGCTTTAGCTCTACAAAACGTTTTGGTTCGTTTCTTCTGTAGCTTGCTAAGTACTTTTATTTTGGAAGTATTCGTAAAGTCTGTAGCATGTATTTGTATATCTGAGGTTCTCTTACATACTTTTAATACTGCTATTCGAACTTTCCTCATTCACTACATTGACATTTTTGCTGTTGGTAAATACAGGCCAGGACCAACTTAGGTGCCACATTAAGAGGAAGGAATGGGAGAAAAGAGACTACATATTCCCAAAACTAAGTAATCTCTCCTCAGATTACTCTTTGTAGGCTTCTGGTGTTACTAGAAGGGAGAGATTACTCTTAGCAGAGCGTAATTAACATTTTGCTCTCTGACTCCTGCTATGAATTTCCCTCTGGAGAATCCCTTTCTTGCAACTGATGGTGGAGGAAGCCGTGAAAGATACCTAAATAGACTAAAAACGTTTGTGAAATGTTTGTGAAAACCTCAGGTAACCTTTATAACTTTCATCATCATGCTGGAGTTTGGAACGTAATTTCCCCAGAAGTCTGACACAGGGCTCAGATTTGGCAGCCAGCTGCTCGCGACAAGGGGGAGCTTGCGTATAGCTCAAAACCTGCCTTCTTGGGTTCACAATTTTGATAAAGCAACCGTTCAGTTCTTGTTAATTGTGGTGGCAGCCTGTACCGCGGTAGAAAACAAGCCAGGAAAAGTAATAGTTGAAGAAAGTTAGAAAGCATAGAGCCTCTCTGCCCTCAGCCTCATGTCGGGCACCAGAGCAGCCCCTGTTTGGTACTGGTGGCCGAGGCAGTGTTCACTAGGTAGCTAGTGCCCATAGCGCTCTGGCAACAAAACTGAGCTGCCTCGGTCTGGCTGGGATGGAGTTAATTTTCCCCACAGCAGCCCGTAGGGCGCTGTCTTAGGGATCTGTGGCTAAAGCAGGGCTGATAACACACCCAGGTTTTGGCTACTGCAGAACAGTGCTTGCACAGCGTCAAGGCCACCAGCAAGGAGGCTGGGGCCGCACGAGAAGCTGGCCGGAGAAGACAACCAGGACAGTTGACCCCAGCTGACCAAAGGGATATTCCATGCCATATACCATCTTGCTCAGCAACAAAAATGGAGGGGAGGGGTTTTCTGGGGATGGACTGGGCATCGATCTGCTTGTGGGAGGTAGTTAGTCATTGCTTTTACATCACCCGTCATGGAGGTTTTTTTCACCTTCTTCTTCCCTTTTCTTTGCTTATTAAACTGCCTTTATCTTGATCCACAAGTTTTCTTGCTTTTGTTTTTCCTGTTCCTTGTCCTGTTGCGGTGGAGGTTAACCCACCACAAATATATTTCTGGTGCAGTTTGAGTTCTGAATTATTTTCACAATTTTTTCACCTCTGAAGTGTTTCAAGACATAGTGTTTTTCTCATAATTTTCATTTGGGAAATTTTTCTAGATTGTTTGCTTAAAATAGATTCAGCCCTGAAGACAGTGGAAGGAAATACATTTCTGTTCAATACAACCAAAAAACCCTCAATTCTTACAGTTGCAGAACAGATAAAAAATTGGTTTGATACTGGAATATGTAGGACCAAAAAGCTGAAATTTGACAGAAATTATATCCCTCTGCAGTCTATCAGTAGAATCTTTTGGAGTTTTTTTAAAAATCAATGTTGACTTCTTGTGAGATTTAGCTGCATATATTTTTGACTTTATGTATCAACTTTTATATGTACAGTTTATGCTTTTAATTACGTTTCTCAGTAATAACACTGGACCACACAATTGCAGTCTATCATAGTGAACATGCTACTATTCCCAGGTCCATTCTTCCTAATTTTCTCTTCTTACTTCCTGTTATGATGGAAACAACAGGGTCGTAATTAATACTATTCATTGCCTTATGTTGTTGTCTTGACCTTCTCTCTTCAGGTGGTGGGATTTTCAAATCTGGCTTTAATGGATTCTTCTTCCAGTCTTACAAGAAGCAGTGAGAGTTACATAGCTCCTTGGAGCCGCATTTTAAGATTTGGTGTGTCTGCTGCGCTCTGGCTAGCCATTGCCTTCTTACAGGTAGGTGAAACGCATGCCAGCCAGAATTACTGTTTCCAGGCTGGTTCTTGGAAGCTAGAATACATGATTTAGACCATCGATGCTACGTATCTGGGTATATTCCAAATTGTTCTGCTTGATCTAGAGTATTAACTGCTTTAGCACAGTATGCCTTTAGACTCAGAGTTAGTCTTCTGAGCTATGAGACATCTTACTCTGTAGCCAGAATTTTAATCCTCTCAAAGACGCAAATTCTTGCAGCTACTTTGTTCTGTTTTAAACAACTTTGAAGCATCTCCAAATTCCAAATGAAAAGCAGGATCTTGGTACAACTTTACTTCTGAGGGGAATGATGTCAATCCTGTTCCATAGAGCCCAATACAATGGTGGCCACTATGGAAGTCTGTAATTTGTGGGTGTTATACTGTGAAGATAATTGCCTAATAAAGTAAAATCTGATGAACTAATAAAATTTGATTCATTTGTTTCAGATTATATTTTTTTCTGTGTTTTATGAAAGATTTGTTGAAGATAAGATAAGCCAATTTGTTGATTTGTGTTGCATGAGCAATGTAAGTATTTTTTTGTCTCATTTGTACAACAGCGTTTAAATAAAATAAATTATAGTTTAAAGCATATTAAATAATATTTATTCATGTAATTTAATTCAAAATTACTAGCTAATGGCCAAGTCAGCATTTCTTTCAGCTCCTTTTATTGGTGCAATCTGCAAGAAGATTTCAGTTAAACTTCAATTGGAAAAAGATTCTGGAACCATGGTTATAAATATGTTCTCCTAGACCTGTGATTTTTAGGTGTTTTTTTTAAGGTACATTGGTTAAATATGCTCATTCAGAATTAAAAAGTAACAAAGTATGACAGAAATTGCTGTTCTGTTTTCATTTTAGTAGCTCTCTCTTACAGACACAGCTGTCTTGGTTTTATTTAGTATGCTTCCATTTCTGCTCCTATCTTGTGCTTGTCCCTCAACCACTGAAGTTCATGGTTGTTCCTCTTGGTAACAAAGTATGACAGAAATTGCTGTTCTGTCTGTTTTCGTTTTAGTAGCTCTCTCTTACAGACACAGCTGTCTTGGTTTTATTTAGTATGCTTCCATTTCTGCTCCTATCTTGTGCTTGTCCCTCAACCACTGAAGTTCATGGTTGTTCCTCTTGTACAGTTAGCACCTTTTTTATGCATTTTCAGTTACACACATCTGAACTACTTCCCTTTCTCTAGTTTAAATATGAGTCTTGAAGCTTTTTACTTTTGAATGCCTTTTAACCAAAGTGGAGTGCATTCAGAACAGGTTGGATTAGCTCATTTCTCCAGAACATTTGAAAAAATAGAGATGAAACCCTTTTATCAGCCTTTTCAGTTTCAGTTATTCTTCTTCCATGAAACACCCGTATAGTGCATGGGTTGTAGAGAAAGTAAATTTTGGCTTTTTTGTGATATATAAGCATTATACCGTACTGGATGAAATTATATTAAATACAGTCTCCTAGGAGCTCAGATGGAATCATGCGAATGTATTACGGATCACAGAAATATTTTTGGAATCAAAATAAAAGCTAATAACTTTGCTTTAATTTTTTTGGCTCTGTGGAATTAAACAGTGAACCTTACTGTTGATAAACTAAACTTGAAACTGGTGTGTGTTTCTAGTTAAACACAGGTAAAGCTAATCAGTAAAAGAGTTATTAAATATTTATCTGCCATATTTATTTTTAGTATCTGCCCTGTTTTTTATTGTAGCAGGGCTGGTCTTGCTGATCTTCCCTGTGAACTGAAAAGTTCAAAAATAAAATTATAATGTTTAATTAAAGTATTCTTCTCTTGCCCCATCTCTTTTAGATTTCGGTGTTTCTGTTGTCACACAGCTGCTTTGGTTATTATATCCATGGTCGCTCTGTGCATGGACATGCAGATACCAATATGGAAGAAATGAATATGAACCTAAAGAGAGAAGCAGTAAGTAAAAGAGTTTACACCTGCTCCAATTATTTATTTTCTAAACTCCACACCTTTACATTCTTGATTTACACTTGCACATTACATTGCACCAAGTTACAATACTTAAAAAATAAAGTGGGTTTTTCTCTATGAAGATGTCAGATTTTCTATTTTCTTGGGATTTCTGAGACTTGTTGAATGTGACCTGATAAATATATGGGAAAATTTGGGAGTACAAAGCACACGAAAAAAAAAAGATAATGAGAAAATAATGAACCGAACATAAGTGAGAAGAGGAATATGATTTTGTGACAGCAGGGGTCAGGATTTCACGTCCTAAGAAAATTTTGCTATACCAGAACGAAGAGTGCAGTGTGTTCAAATATATAGAGATATTAAGTACTATGTATACATAAAAGAGAGGAAATGAAAAGCTTTTCACTTCTTTAGGTCTATGTAATAATGTTAATTCACAATTGTTTGAATTTTATAGGAAAATCTATGTAGTCAGAGAGGTTTGTTACCAAACACAGATGGCCAGACATTCCAGATTTCCATTTCAAGAAAAATGCGACTACACTATGACATTATTCATGAAACCCTAACAAGAGTAAGTGAGATATTTGTATTCAGTAAATGTTATTTAAAATATGTATTTTTTCTGCTGAAGACATGGTCACATTATATTTCAGAAACGTGGTCCTGCTCGGCTTTTGGACTCATCTGCAACTTCTTCTGAACAAAGCACAAAGGCCTACAACACCATGAACAAATTTCTCAGTTCCTTTATCGATCACGTATGTATATTGGCATTACTATATTAAGGAAAATATAATAAGTAGAGACAAAAAATTGTAAATCTGAAAGACTGTACTTCTTCTTTAAGCCGATGTGCTTAAAGACTTGTTAAGGACTTTAGGGCAACTGGAACAGTGCTTCATTTAAAAAAAAAAAAAAATGGAGTACTGTCCAACAGTGCAGCCCACTCTTAAAAATGACAAATCCTTTTTTTTGTCTTGGAATAGACCAGGGCATGTTTTTCATTCATAAATGTCTACATAGCTGTACCTCACTTTGTATTAAGTGCTTTTTCGCTGAGATCATAAAACAAGAAGTGTTGTTTTTCCTTTTTGTATAGGTTCATAAAGAAATTGATTATATTGTTAAAGATAAGTTGCCGCTTGAACGGATTCTTGGCATGGAGTTCATGGAACCGATAGACAAAAGCATTTTTTACAATGGTAATAAGATTTGTGACTTGCTGTTTGTACCATTAGAAGTATGTAGGTTTCCATGTAGATATCCTTCCTAGGATTTGCAGGTTAAACTGGGCTTTACAGCAGGACTGTACAGTCATTAAATGACCGCTTCTGAGGGAGGTGTTTAAGAGCAGGTTACAGAAATCCTATTTACAATTTGTTGCTCAACGGAAATGATTTTTCTTTTAGGCAAACGAAAGGATACTGTGTAGAGACATGCGTGTGTTTGCAAAATGTCCCTTTGACTTTCTATCTAGACCCAATATCCACTTTGTAAATGGAAAGAAGAACCACAGTATTTAAATAGCTCCACGGATTTTATTTTTTTAATATAGAACCAAATTTCTTATGAAAGAACTAATTCTTTAAAGAGGATATTGATTACAGTGAGGCCATTTTAGTGGAATACCTTATGTTAATACACCACTCCACTAAGTAACTTGAGTTCTTAAATGCTTAGTTTGAAGCTTTTTAGGCATTGCCAATACCTACAGCAAAAATGAGTGTTCCAGCAGAAACAGGGACATTATTTCTGTTTCTGGTCCCAGGAGCTGTTCAAAATCAGTTAGACTTGGGTTCTCCAGTGCATCATCCTGAATCCCAACCCATGCTAAACCTATCCAGAAGTATTTCCAAGTACATGGGTTAAAAATAGAATTAGAGAAAGTTCTTGACTATATCTCAGCCTTCAGCCTAAGTTCCTTAACTGGAATCCCTGGAAGATTGATGCTGTGAAATACCAAGGCTCTAAAAACCTTAACCTATTCATAATTACTGCCAGGTGACCAGTACCTGCATCACTGGAATCCTCATCCGGTGTTAGGTCCTCTACTTTCTCCACTTCCATAGTTCTGAGACTCCTGTGAACAGATGTGGTCTGGGGATGGGGACCAGTATCCACACTGCAATGAAATATCAGCTGAGAACTCAGGCCTGATGCCAGTCTTCTTCCTCAGGTCCTGAGCTGTGCAGAATCCAACCAAAATTACCACTGAAAACCTTAGTTCGGACTCTGATTCTACTCCTAACCACGAATACAGCCATCACTTGCATGGAAACTAAACATTACCTCGTGATGCAAGATGATGCAAGCCCTCATTTTGAGTCGCTCAAATACTGGGCTCTCCAGCCTCACTGTTGAGAAGCTCTAAACCTCAGCAGAAGTGTAACGCAACCCGTCGGTGTTGCCAGATGACCATTACCCAGCCTAAACACAGCATTACCCTGATGCGATAGCAGCCCACAGGCTGCACCACTGAGCTCTGCAGGACTTTTCCTCTTCTTTGACACTGGGGCAAATTAAAAGACCTGTTTTCTGGGAAAGCGTTAAGCAATGAACAAAGATAATGTTAAGCTCTGAACCTCCTCCCAAGTAAGGCTTTAAGACTATGTTTTAAGCACCATGTTTTTATTGTTCCATTGAGCTGGGGCCAGAGTTAACGCTCGCTAAAATTTCAGTGACACCTGCTTCTCATTCAAAGCAGCCTTCTTTAAACAGTCTGATTGAGATTTCAGGAGGGAATGAAGCTGCATGTGGCACACGAGCTTTACCTGTTTTGTTCTGTCAGTATTAAGCCATTTTGTAAGTTAAAAAGTTTGTATTATTTTGCTGAAATAGAATGATATTTACGATGCCATAGAATGTCATAACAAGCTCTTGCTCTGACTTTCCTTCTCCTTATTGGCTTTTTCAGCATGGACTGATGAATTCCACAAACTTGCACTTCACAGAAATAATAATATTTTCAAAAAATATTTTCTTTCTGTAGATGAAGGAAACTCTTTCAGTGATGTTCTTTATTATGGCAATGAAACAACACTGCTCATCTTTGATATCCTGTTTTTCTCCGTTGTGGACCTGGCTTCCCAAAGTTTTGTTTTAGCTGCTATTCTAACATATTTGCAACAAGAGGTAAATTTCAGTTTAAGGAAAAAGTAATATTTTTTTATGTGGGTTGATATGGAAGTTTACGTACTTAACTAGATAGTTAAAGCAGTAAGTTAGCAGTATGCAGTGACAGGAGATTATACTGAGAGCTTATAGAAAATGTTTTTTGAATTTTTTTGTTCGGTAGACTAGTGAGAAACTAATTTTATTAACATCTGTCATTAATAAAGTTGCTACAAATAACTTTCAATAGAAAACATAAGTATCTTTTAAAATTAATCACACATAATTATATCATATTTCAGGGTGGAAAGATGTTTCACAAATGTTTCAAGAATACTTTTGGGAGTTATACACCTAATTCACTCATGTAATTTACGATTTAGAGACAATATGAAGCTATTAGGTACTGAAACATTCAATTTTAAGTATGTCTGTGTTAATGCATTCTTTTCTATAATGTTCTTAGATCTTTAGGTTTATTCGTAATACACTGGGGCAGAAGAATTTGGTATCCAAAACCTTGGTAGATGAAAGATTCCTTATTTAATTAAGAAGATGAAAACTTTGTTGAGGACTTAATCATGGAAATTTTGCCCAAGATCAAGATCATCTCTGACCTGCAGATTAATTGTAGTGGACTTTCCAGTAACAATATAACATTTTTGAAATGTATTGTTTTTATATTATGTGCTATTAAGCTTTATTTTTGGTACTTACAAGATTTCTTAATTAAGTCAACACTAAGCCCTAGGCCTGTAAAAGGAAAAGTACATGCAAATAAGACAGAAGTAAACTTAATGTTATTATTAGTAGAATAAGATAAAAACTTTAGGTAAGATATGGACCACTCACTTTGAGGCAATAATTTGAGGATTCTCGTTGGCAGGACAGGCTGTCAATTCTTAAATTTTCTGAAAATTCCTTAAACCTTTTTCTTTTTTTTTAATTTATTTTGAGTTATAATGTTTAGCAAACATATTTCCAGCTTTACACAGTACAGGATTTGTTCTGAATCTAGTTAATATTTCAAGAGACCATTTTAAAGATCACTTTTTTACAGAGACTTCGACTTGAAATTTTAACTTTTCCTTCTTGCATCATAGTATTGTGTGCTTTTGTCTCTTCTCTTGGAGTTTATCATTCTGTTTCTTGGGTGTGGACTATATGTGACAAAGTTTCCTTGTGTACAGTAGTGTTACAGCGATGCAGGAAAAGTTCTGATGGAGCCGAGGAGCTGGTTATAGGTACTTGGGGTTTGTTCCTGATCTTCTGCTGCCTGATGTGAGATGCCCAGGGAAATACAGGAATAATTCTGCGCTGTCTCCACACAAGTAAAATAGAAGTAATTGTTCTTATCTTTTTAGAAGTTTTTCACAGGTGCCTATAGATGCTCACGTACCTCTGTCTTTCAATTTTCTGGCTGTATTATCTTTAGATATAACACAGAGATAATAATCATTTTACCATCAGCATATTTTTGGAATTTAGACAAGTTCATAATTATTCAAGTGCCACTTATGAAGTGTTAAGGAAGATTATGAATGGCCTTCAAAACACCTTAAAGTGAGGTGTCTACCTCCCATTCAAATCTCTGAAAAGCCTTCCTATGTTTTTAAAATTATATTTTTCAGTAAATGATTAAACATGAATAGAGTTTGCTGGTTTTATAGCTCTTAACTTGTCTTTTGATGATTCAACAAGGGGCTTTCACCAGCAAAGACCCCATAAAAATGTAGGTCAAGGTTAGCATGCTTATTCTAAAACAGAGACCAAGGGCATGATTCGTTGGACCTAGACGACTTCCAGTGCAGACATGCTTACCTGAGTTGAACCAGCATTATATTTCAGATATTTCTTGGGTTCATAAAGAGGAACGTGTTCTCATTTTGATACCATATCATATCATACAGTGATATTAAAATTAAAGTAGCATGGACATAAATCTCAGGGTCACTATTGCTCTAATGCATTTGCTTTTGGGGTTGCAAACCTGTGTAGCTTCCTAGTCCAGTGTGGTTGCTGTTAACTGGTAGAATGTGTCTGCCAGTAAGGTTGTAACAAGGTTACATATAAAAAGGATAACTGAAGAGTTGATTTTTCCATTTATTAAAATGCAGTTTCGCTTGGGCGTTCCCATGTCATGCTTTCCTTATTTTTGTCTGCTTGTGTGCACAGTTTGTCAGTGCATGTTAAGCCTCAAAAAAAAGTGTGAATGCAAAACTTCCAACAGAGTGAAAGAACTGCTACAAATAAAATCAAAGTTGTTGCCTTTAATAACGAAAGTAGTACTTAAAGTGTCCATTAAGCCAAAAATCATATTTCCACTGAGTACCATGACTGTGTGACTTCATTACTTGTGAAGTTTCTGTCATATTTCTTGTCAGTGATCTCCTGAGTGCCAAAACTGTAAACTAAGCAAAAAAGCCATCTGAAAAATGGTCTGCAGTAGGACCACTTGTAGACACTGACGTGTAGTTTTTGGCTAGTCCAGTAACAGCAGAAGTAGAGGCACGGAGAGCATGTGGTCGCTCCCTCTGTACCATGTTGTCAATGCTTTTGCTAGCCGGGTGCACCTTTCCACACAAAAGTCGTGCTTTGAGTTTGCTTTAGATACGCTTTTAATTATCTGCTGCTCAGAAGGGCATGTGAAAGCTTTAATGACCTTGCAGTCTGGAAGAACTACTGTTAAAGGCGACTCTGGTTACAGATACATGATAAATTAATCTAAAAATATCCTGTCAAAACAGTTCTGTCGCTTGGCCCTCTTTTTCTCCTCAATGCACACACTACTCTGTTGTGTTTTATTTTTCCAGGTCATTTGTCTAAAATGTTAGTATAACTATCATAGGCATTCTGCATGATTTAGGAAATAATTCCAGGAATCGAAAGCTTCAGGAATTCATAGAAGCTTTTCTTCGTTCTTGCTGTCCAGTGAATACAGGAAACAGGTTGACTGTGCTTTGCTCTCCTACTGCTTGATATTTGTTCAAGAAATAGCTCTTGTGATTGTATTTCAGCTTAATGGTTTTTTTCCTTTTTTAAAATTAATATGCAGCTACAATGTGTTGTTCATGTGCTGAGTGTCTTTCAAGTTCCTAAATGTTTTGTTTAATCACATGGCATCTCAGACTGTCATATCTGTCCCTCTGAGGAATAAAAAGAAATTGAAGGATTGGAGAAGTGGTTTTTTTGCACTTGTTAAACCAGTTGACCCAAGTTTACAACACGTTTTTCCTTCTGTGCACATGAGCTTACAGAGCTTCTCTGGACAAGCATAAGAGGAGGATTTTGCAGTCGGTGTGGCAATAGAGGGTTTGGTTTTGGATAGCCATAACTAATGGAATTACAGCACCCGAGGGATTAGATACCAAAATAGTTAATTCCACAAATGATTATAACTTGTATATACAGACAAGGTAAAGTGATTTCAAGAACATGTTTGAAATTCGCAGGTTTCATTCACTAGTGAGGATTTGGCTGATTTGTGTTTTACTGCAGCATTCATCTTAACAGCAGAGGCGGTTTTGTGATTGAGGCAGATCATACCAGAGGCGAGAAGTGCAGCTGGCACAACCCTCCAGATTTCACCCCGCCCACAAGATTGCTGCAGCACTAGGGTGCCAGCCAAGCCAAACTCATGCGGTTTTCTGTTTGTTTCCAGTCTGAGAGGGAGCGTATGAGCAGTAGGTGACTGGGGGAGGGTGGCATTGTGATATGCACCTACGAGTAAACTGGGGTGGTGGAAGGACCAACCTCTCAAAACCAGTCTCACTTGACACCACCTGTATCATGCCCTTTTCTTCTGCCCTTTTCCCCATTTAAAAACACTAATTACCTCTCTTCTGTGCCTCAAGGCAGTACCTCCAGGTGGTGCCCGGCACAGCCTCCTGCTGCTCCTGCCCCTGCCTTCCTGCCTCCGGGTCTGGCAGCAGGTCTCCACGCAGGTGCAGGTGCTGCCTGTCCCCACTTCCCTGGGTGAAAGAGGGAAGCACAGTCTGGTGGGCCACAGGGGAAGTGGCCTTTGCAGGACAATGCTGCCAAGGTGGGTTGCAATGGATTGTGTGCAGAGGTGTGCCTCAGGGTAACAGCACAGGCTCTTTAGTGGGAAGAATGAAAACCTAAACACAGTGTTAGAAATAGAGTTTAAAAGCATGATGTCCCAGCTTCCGTGTATGTCTAGAAGGATGAATGTAACCAAGACACCTCCAGACAAACAGCTCTTTGACCACTGACTTCCTCCTCCTTTATTTCTATGGACTGTCTCCCCCACAGCTCTCCCTGCTTCCTCATGTGATTCTTATGACGCCGTGGCAGACAGGTGGCACCTGCCACAGGTGGCTCAGAAAAGCCACCCCCGTCCTTGCTTGGCCCATCGCTGGCTGCCTAAGGGAGCGAGACTGAGGGTGTCACCCTGCAGGCAGGATGGCCAAGCTGCTACTTAGGGGTGTTGATAGAAGAGAAGTTCAACGTGGGCCGGCAGTGCGCTCATGCAGCCCAGAAGGCCAACCGCATCCTGGGATGTATCAAGAGAAGCGTGGTCTTGTGAGGCCTCACCTCGAATACTGTGTCCAGTTCTGGTGACACCACCATAAGAGGGACATAGATCTGTTGGAACAAGTTCAGAGGAGGGCCACAAAGATGACCCAGGGGCTGGAGCACCTCTGCTACGAGGACAGGCTGCGGGAGCTGGGATTGTTCAGCCTTGAAAAGAGAAGACTCCGGGAGTGCCTTATAACTGCCTTCCAATACCTGAAGGAAACCTACAGGAAGGCTGGAGAGGGACTTTTTACAAGAGTGTCCAGCAATAGGACAAGGGGAAATGGATTTAAATTGAAGGACAGTAGGTTTAGATTGGATCTTGGGAAGAAATTCTTCAGTCGAGGGTGGCAAGACTGGAATAGATTGCCCAGAGAGGTTATGGATGCCCCCTCCCTGGAGATGTTCAAGGCCAGGTTGGATGAGGCCTTGAGCAACCTGGTCTACTTCAGGGCAACCCTGCCCATGGCAGGGAGATTGGATTAGATGATCTCTAAGGTTCCTTCCAACCTACGACATTCTATCATTGTATGACCTGGATCCACAGATTGGGCTGGGGATTGCAGAGCCTGAGAGATGTTCTCTACGAAACCCCACAGGAGATGCATTTGCCTCTCTGATAAGATGAATGTCTCCATGTTATCCTGATAAAGCTTCAGCAAGCCTTGATGGTCCAGAGCCCTGACAATCTTTATCCCTCTCTGATCCAGACTGATGGTGCTACCCAAGATTTGTCATTCCCTTAGTTTTCCCAGGTGACCTCCATCACAGCAGGCGTAGCTGTAAGCCTGGCAGCTGGGGAGAGGTGAGGCAGCCCTTGGGGCTAATTAGGAAATATTCCGTGTTCAAAGTTCACCTGTGGAATAGCTCTGCAGTTTGATGCCTGTGCAGGAGACAGCACAGAGTTAGTTGACATGGAGAATTTCCCTTTGATTTTTCAGAATTGCTCTTTTTTTAAATCTGTTGGAAGCTGAGCCCACACTAAACAACCTCCTCAAAACCTGTGCTGTT